ATGATGTGGACTTGTAAGTATACTGTTATAGTTCCAAAGATAAAAGGTACATTTTTAGCAAGACCCAGGGTCTGTTCAACTGTCCTGTTTGCACTCTGCATTTGAATTTTTATGTCTGGATCCCATGAGATGGCCAATTTCTTAGCCACTTCCACATCCATGGCAATAATTTGAGAACCAGCATCTAACAAACATTCAATCTGTCCCATTCTATTAATTACTGGGAAGACGGTTCGTAATGCATGAGACTCCTTTGCAACATAGATTTGTTTCGGTTTCTCAGATGGACCTAAACTCTGCAGGTATTGCGCTACTGGATCACTGATTATGATAGACCCTTTTGGCACATTTCCTTCATCTCTTGTTGTCACTATAAAAGCCGCTTTTATATTTAAATCATTAATAGATATCGCGTCTGCCTCCAATTCAAATTTTGTAGGTTTTAACGGTACCGCATCAACGTCAGGCTCTTCCATCATAGTAACTTTTCGGTTTTGAGCTTGTTGTACTGGCATCCTTTTCTTAGATAAAGCTTTAATCAAGTCGTGTCTAATACCTGGGGAAATGCTTATCAAAGTCTCTGCCGTCAGTGTAACTGGGGCATTATAGAGATTCGCTAAAGCCTCTCTCTCATGTGTCACATTCTCAATTGGTGCTTGGTGTTTATAAGAAACAGGTCTTTTCTCAGTATCAATAATTGGCTCAAAATTATCAATCTTTATTTCTTCTTTTTGTCTAGGATCATTCAGGTCAGGAATATTTAAGTATGGTAACTGTTTATGCCTAGGCACTGGATCCTCTTCTTCATCATCCCTTGGGAGAAGTGGTTTAGGCTTCCCTTTCGGTTTTGGTATAGTTTTCTGGGTTTCTTTAATTACTACAGGCGGAATTTCTTCCTCCATTTCTTCAATTTCTTCTTCTTGCTCATCATCAGAATCTTCGAATTCTGCTAATTGTCTGCGGTTTTTAGCTTTAGTTTGGTTCTCAAGAGCTTTCTTACTTCTGGTATTGGCCGCATTCCTACCAGATCGCTCAATCCTTGAACCTATGAGAAACCCTGCTGTCCCTGAGTATCAGCTTGACTGCGTCTAGTAGCTACATAACTTGCAGCTTCTTGACCTTGACCTTGCTGTTCCTCAAAATATGACAGAATGTTTTTCATATTGTTAACTATGTCAACTTCTTGTGCCGATGGACGTGCCACCTGTGCCGGCACTTTATTACCCAACAGCGTATCAATTCGAGTAGCCATTTTATCTAAAAGATCATCTCTCGAATCTCTAATCTGGTTGGTGTATACTGATTTAACTCGAGCATCTATTCCCAACTGGACGATACCTGGCTCTCCGCTGTTCTGTGTGTAAATTTCTCCAGGCGATGCAAACATATTGCTTTGCGCCATCATATCTTTATTGCTAGCTTCCTCAACAATCATTTTAGCAGACTTCCCATTTGTCCCTCTAGGTACTGGTTGTCCTGTGAGCGCGAAAAACATCTTATGACCGGACATTTTAATTTTTCCCGTTCTAATATGTTCTTCCCTATGAGGACAATTCA